AGGGTTCGGATCCCATATAGAGACCGGTCCGCTCACTGGTTGGGTGCGGGCGTGACACCGAGGGTTGCGATCCCGTTACCGGTCACGAAAAAAGACAAAAAGAAAAAAAAAAATGTGGGACTGGCATGAAGACACACATATAGACCAATGGAACAGAACAGAGGGACAAATTATCAAAAAGACAAAAAATAATAAATGCTGGAGAAGATGTGGAGAAAAGGTAACATTTATACATTGTGGGAATGTAAATTAGTACAGCTCTTATGGAAAACAGTATGGAGGTTTGTCAAAAAACTAAAAATAGAACTACCATATGATCCAAAAACCCCACTGCTGGGTACTTATTTTTTTAAAAAAAGGAAATTAGCATACTGAAGAGATATCTGCACCCCCATGTTTATTGCAATATTATTCACAGTAGCCAAGATACTGAATCAACCTAGGTGTCCACTGACAGATGAATAGATAAAGAAAATGTGGTATACATACACAATAGAATACTACTCAGCTGTGAAAAAGAATGAAATCCTGTCACATGGGGCAACATGGATGATCCTGGTAGACATTATGTTAAGTGAAGTAAGACCAGTGCAAAAAGATAAATAATGGGGCCGACCCCGTGGCGTACTCGGGAGGGTGCGGCGCTGGGAGCGCAGCAACACTCCCGCGGGTTTGGATCCTATATAGGAATGGCTGGTGCGCTCACTGGCTGAGCGTGGTGCGGGCAACACCACACCAAGGGTTGCGATTCCCTTACCAGTCATGAAAAAGAAAAAAAAAAAAAAGGTTAAATAATGAATATTCTCAGTTATATGTGGGAAGTGAAAAAAGAAAAATAAAGGTGAGCTTTCAGAAGTAAAGAGTACAACTCTGGTTACTACAGGCTGCGAAAGGGGATAGGGAGAGGTTGGTTAATTGAAACACAATTACAGCTAGAAAAGAAAAATAAGTTCTAGTGGTGTACAATAATGCTAGGCATCTGTAATTAACAATAATTTATTGTATGTTCTCAAATGGCTAGAAGCAATGAGCTCAAATCACAAAGAAATGATACATTTTCATGATGATGAATATGCTAATTACCCTGATTTGATCATCACATAGTGTATACATGTATTAAATATAAGTCTGCACCTCATAAATATGTACAACCAATACGATTCAATAAAAAATAAAAATTTACAAATAAATACATAAATAAAAATAAAAATGTCTTCATGGAAAAAAAAATAAAGAACAGAAAGCCAAGAAATAAGCCACACCATATATGGTCAAATCACTTTTGACAAGGGTGCCAAGACCATTCAGTGGGGAAAAGATAATGTATGCTAGGAATTGCAATGGGAAAACTGGATAGCCACATGCAAAAGAATGAAGTTGAACCCTTATCTTACACCATATACAAAAATTAAATCAAAATGTATCCAAGATCTAAACATAAGACTTAAAACTATAAAACTGTTAGAAGAAAACATAAGAAAAAAACTTCATGACATTGGACTTGGCAATAATTTCTTGGATATGACACCAAGAGTACAGCCAACAAAAGAAAAAATATATAAATTGGACTATATCAAAATTAAAAACTTTTGTGCATCAAAGGACACTATCAACAGAATTGAAAAGACAACCCACAGAACGTGAGAAAATATTTGCAAATCAAATATCTGATAAGGGGGCCAGCCCCATGGCTCACTTAGGAGAGTGTGGCACTGGGAGCGCTGAGGCCACGGGTTCGTATCCTATATAAGGATGGCCGGTGCGCTCACTGGCTGGGCGTGGTGCGGGCAACACCAAGCCAAGGGTTGCAATCCCCTTACTGGTCACAAAAAAAAAAAAAAAAAAAGTCTGATAAGGGGTTAATATCCAGAATATATAAAGAACTCCTACACGAAAACAACCTTATTAAAAAATAGGCAAAGGACTTGAATAGGTATTTCTCCCCCAAAAAATATATAAATGGCCAATAAGCACATGAAAAGATTCTCAATGTCACTAATCATTAGAGAAATGCAAATCAAAATGAAAATGGAATATCACTTCATACCCTTTAGAATGGTTATTATCAAAAAAACAGAAAATAAAAAGCATTGTTTAGAATGTGGAGAAATCAGAACTTTGTGCATTGCTAATGGGAATACAAAATAATGCAGCTGATAAACAGTATTGCTCTCCACAAAAAATTAAACATAGAATTACCACATAATCCAGCAATTCCACTTCTGGCTATAGATGAATTAAAAGCAGGGACTCAAACACATATTTGTACACCCATGTTCATAGCAGTATTATTCATAATAGCCAAAAGGAAGAAGCCACACAAGTGTCCTTCAACAAATGAATGGGTAGATAAAATATATTGGGGGACCCCCCCTCCTATAACCAGGCACACTGCCAGTGCCTCGGGGCCTACCCAGGGAGCTGGGGCATGGAGCCAGGGACCAGACCCCCCCACACACAACCAGGCACACTGCCAGTGCCTCGGGGCCCGCCTGGGGTCCTGAGGTATGGAGCCAGGGACTGGATGCCCCCCCCCAGAACCAGGCACACCACCAGTGCCAAGGAGCATGCCAAAAACATCACTTCCATGTGGGTGGTCTACCACAGCCACAATAACCATGGCTGCTGTGAAAGTGGCTAGACGTCACAACCACCACACAGATGGTCCACCAGCTGCTGGAGTGCACTGACACAAGAAGAGTCACCAGCAGAGACCAAAGAAAAGAAGAGGATGTCTATCTCCACAAAGCCTATCCCAAAGTGACAGAAGCAGCATCTGCTCTACGATAATACTTGGGGACCTGAACACACCTCTCAGTATTGGACATATCATCTAGGCAACAAATCAACAGAGTAACCATTACTCTTTCAGAAGGAGAGAAGAAATCTAGGGTAATTAGAGGGGGGAGGGAGGAGAGAGAGGGGGATAGGGAGAGTTTGGACAAGGGGCATAAAGAATAAGTATGACTTATAACAATATATATGCTAGTAATATTAATTTGATCAACATACGCCAATGTTGAACTCAAAAAATATGTATAATCAATTATGATTCAATAAAAATTTTTTAAAAGAAACCTTTATAGAAAAAAGTTATAATCATTATATAAAAACATTTTTAAAGACCTAAATCAGTACAAAAACATTTAGTAGCATGTTCATAAATTAGCATATTTAATATAAAAAATAGCAATCTCTTCACCCGTCTGTATAGATTTGATGCAATTCCAGTACAAATTTTACAGTTTCTCTTTTAGTACAAAACTGAGCAAGCGAATTCTAAAATTTACAAAGATGTGGAAAAGAACCAAGCCAGTCCTAATAAAATATAAGATGAGAAAAAAAAAGAGGGATTGTATCAGACACCAAAAATTATTATAAAGCTTTAATAATTAAAGCAGAGGATAAAATAAGTGACCACTGGACCTGAACAAAGAGCCCACAAACAGACCCATGCACACTTGAAAACTTAGTTTATGTTAGAAAGCTTTGCAGACCAATAGGGAAAAATGGATTACTCAATAAAGTATGCTAGAACAATGGAATTCCAGATTAAAAAAAAAAAAGAAAGAAATTGAATTCCTACCTCAAAACGTACAATGAAATCAATTCCAGATGAATACAGACTTTACTATTAAAGATAAACTACAAAATTTTAAAGAATAACTTATAACTCAGGATAAAAAATGATTCCTTAAACAGGAACAAAAGGGACAAATCACAAAGTTTGTTCAGTTCTACTATACTGCAATCAAGAATAAAGTTAATCAAGACATGATAGAGTGACAAGGCAAGACACAACCTATAAACGTATTTGAAATATATGCAACTGATAAGAATAACTATCTAGTAAAGATCATTCCTCAACACCAATAAGAAAAAAAGATCCCAACAGAGAAATGGACAAAAATTTGAATAGGCACTTTACATAAAAAAAACCTGAACAGCTCATAAAAGTGAAAGGTTGCTCAGCCTTATTAATTGGGGAGAAGTAGAAAAACAAATTAAAACCATAAAGAGCTATCTTTCCACATCAACCAAATTTGCTACAATTAAGATATCAGAAAATATCACATGTCAGTAAGATACACACCAACAAAAGGGACTTAGGCATGGCCAATTAAAAATTTTCTCCGTGTCTCTGAATCTTAAACAAGTGATGAAAAATGTTGAGATAAATGAAGGTCAGTTTATCCTAATAAAAATGGCAACATGCTTACCACACTATTTCCATCAAAAGATCACTGCTGTGGCTCTTGTGACCTAGCCTTTGATGACTGACCATTTCCAAGCCTGGTCTCTAAACTCCCATTACTTATGCTCCCAATATCTTCCAAAAAATTCGCTTTTGCTGAAGCTAGCCAGAATCAAATTCTACTTTTTAAACAAAAAAAATCTTGACATATCAAGTTTCTCATCTAATAGAAAATTCCTAAAAGTTTCCATTTTGAGTACAATGTCACGATTCCCGGAAATTGAAAATTACTACCACATTTCTGTATTTCTGAATCTTCCTAAAAAATCTACATGACAGCAAATGTCTTTATTTTAAGACTTGATTTGAATATTCACTCAGTGCAAAATGTTCATCAGGATCAAAATCAAGATAGCAAGAAGTGGTACCTAGCTCGTTCCCGAGCTGCATCCTCACGGGCTTTTTCCTTTTCTTGCCTCTGTTGTTCAATTCGGGCTTCTTGTTCTTTCCTCTTCATCAACAATTCTTCTACACGGGCCTGCCGTTCTGCCTCTAGAGCTCTCTTGCGTTCCTAATGTTAGAAATATTTTTAAAGATATTAGGATTATGAGTAAAATGAAAATGACTAAAGGTGACATACCTTTGACACAAACATACAAAGGGTTTTCCAAAAGCTCATGAAAAATCACATACTATGAAAAAACTACGCATGGATTGCAATATTTTTTTTGTACCAAAATAAACTCATACTACTTGTTATAACATGTCTGAACAGGATCCAGTTTGAGGCACTATGAAGGATAAGACATCAGTTTGAAAAGAGCCCCCATCAGAGCAACATGAATTCTGCTAAAATAGAAGAACAAACATCAAATTTAAGGTGAAACTTGGGTGCAAGAATGGTGGAATCATTCATGCTTTACGAAAAGTTAATGGGGACAATGTCCCAAACAAGTCAGCAGTTTACAAATGGATAACTGGTTTTAAGAAGAGATAAGATGATGTTGAAGATGAAGCCTGCAGTGGCAGACCATCCACATCCATTTGTGAGGAAGAAATTAATCTTGTTCATGCCCTAATTGAAGAGGTCCAACAATTAGCAGCAGAAACAATAGCCAATACCACAGACATCTCAATTGGTCCAGCTCACACAATTCTGACTGGGAAATTACAGTTCAGCAAACTTTCTGCTCAATGGGTGCCAAAACTTGTGCCCAGATGATGAGCTGCAGACAAGAGCAGAGCTTTCAATGGAAATTTTAAACAAGTGGAATTAAGACCCTGAAGCATTTCTTCCAAGATTTGTCACAGGAAATGAAATGTGGCTTTACTAGTTACGATCCTGAAGACAAAGACAAGAGGTAGAAGTGGTTCAGTCAAAGCAAAAGCAAGACCCATCAAAGTCATGGCAACAGTTTTTTGGGATGCTCAAGGCATTTTGCTCATGGACCTTTTGGATGGCCAAAGAACAATAACCTATGTTTATTATGACAGTGTTTTGAGACAGTCAGCCAAAGCTTCAGTATGAAAATGCCCAGGAAAACTTCACCAGAGAGTCCTTTACACAGGACAAAGCTCCTGCTCACTCCTCTCATCAAACAAGGGCAATTTTGCAAGAGTTTCCATGGGAAATCATTACACATCCACCTTACTGTGATGATTTGGCTCCTTCTGACTTCTTTTTGTAACCTAATCTTAAAAAATCTTTCAAGGGCATCCATTTCTCTTCAGTTAATAATGTAAAAAAGACTGTATTGACATGGATAAATTCCTAGGGCCCTCGGTTCTTTAGGGATGTACTAAATACTGGTATCACTGCTTACAAAGTATCTTGAACTTGGTGGAGCTTCTGTTGAAAAATAAGTTTATTTTTTATTTTTGTCTTTTAATTCCATTTTTTCACAGACTTTTTGAAGTCCCCTTCTATATTCAAACCAAGTAGATCCCTGGCTTGCCACTAGGAACTGCTTCTCAGAATTTAAACAAAAATCAAACAGCAATGATATCTGGTTTTCATATGTCACTAATCAGTGTTATACATAATTATAACAATAAATGGTATTTTAAGCAAATATGCTATACATATTCTGTGGGAACCTAACACATATTTTCTGATTAACCACTTCTGAAGGCTTGTAGTTAATACATGGTTATAGAAATACCTGAACATGATGAAAAAAAAAACAAAAAACAATAACACACTTTATTTCTGAACTAAGCTTTCATAATAGAATTAAGTGAAGAAAGCTTACAGGAAGAAGAAAGAGGCAATATAATACAGTACAGTGGATATGAGAGTGGGTACTGAATCAGTTTCCCTGGCTTTGTTTCCTGACCTCGTTATTCACTAGCTGCTTGACTCTGTTCTATTTAGTCACATTCTCTGTGCCTTTGTTTTCTGCAAGATAAATAACAATAATACATATGCAAACCACTAACCACAGATCTTGACATACAGCAAATTATCAAAAATTAGTTATCATCATCATCATCAAGGCAGAAGATACTTCATCAAAATAAGGTAAATTTCAATATGAAATATTGGGTTCTGTGTATCTTTTTGCCCAGTAGCAGTTCTTTGATAGTTTTCACCACATTACTAGCTATACTGATACACTTCTTTCAATCCATCCATGTTCCCAGGTAGCTCACACAACCTCTCCCTGGCCCCTCCTATTAATGATTAAAGGAATATGCTGATGTAGGCTCTAGTACCCACTACTTACATAGTCATTTCACCATAAGCAGTTTCAGTTTATTGTTGGATCTAAATCACTAATATAGGTAAGTACTCAGCATAGAGTTTGGCCACAGTAAGGGCTCAGTAAAGAACAGCAGAAAAAAAATAAAGCAGTTTCTGTTCAGACAACACTGAAAAGAGATTCAAACATCTGTTAGTTAACTGAGCTCACAATGGTAACTTCATCTCTACAACAAACTCTATCTACCTCAGGAAAAGAAAACCTTTTTAAAGAAATAAGCCAAAAAGATCCCAATTTCTTTCTTTCTTGAGGTGAGGTTGGGGGTGGTGGGGCCTATGAGTTCTGAGGGGGGAGGAACTGGGAATTGGAGGGAATGCACTGATTTCAGGAGGGCATATCTGGAAGATTATAGACTGTTGGACACATGCATTAGATTTTAAATATATTCTTTAGCGTCTGGCATACTATTTGTAAACTGGCTATTAGCTATTTCTCATTACTAATCAAGAGTATTATGTGGAAACATGTTTAGATATATAAGATTGCAAAAACTCTTAATACTAAAAACAATCAAATCTGGCACAGAAAATTTTCTCCTTTAAGAAAAATATAACCAAAAATACTTTCTCTTATAGTCAAATTTATCTAAAGTTAAAAAAAAATCTGTATTATGTCTGAAACACATTCTTCACAATGAAATGCAAAAGGCTTAGGCATTAAATATAAAGAACTGAAACAGACCTTTTCATTTCATATTTTATAAAACCAAAAGTTTATGGAATATAACTGCAAAAATTATAAGTTGGCCTTTAAAAGGAAATAATATTATGTAAAAATAATTACTTTAATGTAGCCAAGTTGCAGACTCATAAATATAATGTCAACTTGCTGATTGTTTTCATAGATTTAAGATGTACTCCAACTTTGCATTAAGAGGTAATTGGACTTCAAAAATTATCTAACCTTTTAAGTTCTGTTTTTAATAAATGGAAAAGAGAACTGGTAACTATACAGCTAATGAGTAAAAATTATTAAGGTGAGCTAGCATTTTCCAATCCAAAATTTAAGCCCCTAAAAATAGGACTTTGTACCCCACAGAGCACCTTGCACAGGGCAGAGGTTTCCTATAAATATGTTTAATATACGAAGCATAACTCTATAAAATAACATGCATTATGAGTCTATATACCTACAAACAATATAAACCTACAACAAATGACCTGGAAATATAACTTGAAAAGAAACTCTCAGACCCTCACATACTTCATAGGCAGGGGTGTACCTATGGCAGCCTAAGAAAGGATTCTGCAACCCCCTCTTTATGCCTACAATGCAAATGATCAGGGCAAAAAACAAAGCAGAATTTCTAAAAAAAACCAAGCTAAAACTAACCAATCAATAATATACATAAAAACAATGGCAATTGAGAATATATGAAGACAGCACTAAGTATTTCACTTACAAGAAACAAGGATCACAATTGCCTTTTAACAGTTCATGGGAATGTTTCAAGAGTAAACATAAAGGGCCGGCCCGGTGGCGCACTGCTACAGTGCACCGCTTGGGAGTGCGGTGGCGCTCCCGCCGAGGGTTCAGATCCCACATACAGACCAGTTCCCGCTCACTGGCGGAGCGAGGTGCGGGCCCAACACCGAGGGTTGCGATCCCGTTGCCGGTCCCGGTCCTGTACGGGCGCGACACTGAGGGTTGCGATCCGTTGCCGGACACGAAAAAAGACAAAAAGGAAAAAAAAAAAAAAAGAGTAAACATAAAGTAGATGGGGGGGGTCTTTGAAATTCTATATAAAGTTAGGATCTTACTATTATTATTGTATTTATAGAATGTTTGACATTAGTGCCTTACACAGCTAGAAATGACTATACATTTTTATATGTTGTATATTACCAGTGGATTTTTCTAACAATGTCAGTATATCTCAATTAAACTGATGTAGATAAATTTTAAATTTTTCAGAAAATTAAATCCATTGGTAATTTCTACATTTCAAAAAAGAAAAATAATTCTGAAGTATCAAAACAATTTGGGGGCGAACGGTCAAAACAATTTTTAAAGTGTTGGTAGGTACAGGAAATTCCTTACTACTTTCTAGTAAACTGTTTTCCTTTAAGCTTTACTGAATGTTCCAAATTGTGAAGCAAGACTCATCAGTTTTAAATTGGAAATAACTATTATATTTCAAATCTTAAAATCTTCAAAATGCAGAGAAAGAAACCAAAAATGTCTATTTAAAAATATACAATTATACTCATATATTTCTCCCTACAACTCAGCTAAGAAATCACCTTTTTCAGAGAATTTTCCCTGACATTCTCCTCCTATAGAGTTAATTATGACCTCCTCTGTGGTAGGTACCTCTGTACCTTGTACATACTTTAATTACACTCTTTCACATGAAACGGTAATTTATTATTTACCATAAAGCAAGGATCATGTCTTATTTATCTCTTAGTTATTAATGCCTAATAGTTGCTGAAAAGTAATACATAACTTACAAAACATGACTTTTTATAAAATGGTCCTGCTATAGAGAAAGACAGCAATAATGCTAAAGAGAAGGCTAAAATTAAAAATTCAAATATCCTATTACTTTATTCATTCATTTAAGGGTATAAGTTAATAGAGAATTAACTTATAAATAATAAAATAAAAATATTTGCTGATTCTTGGACAGGAAAAGCTAAAGTTCCTCCAATAGGAGCATTCTGTATTTTTAAACTTAGGTTAGCTTGGTCCTCATTAAGGTAAGACATTGGACTCAAATCAAATAGAAGAGATCAAGGATGAATATGGAAATGCCTGCTAATGTCCACAAATACCAAAAAGTAATCAATAACCTTAAAAATGTATTGACATTTTAATTTTCTAAAACCACCAGTGAAGAAACATGATTAATAACTTCCATAATTTTTAACATAACAACAAAGCTTTTCATGATCTGCTCTCTAACTCTACATCATTTATAATAGTCTCATTTTTAAAAACTTAGTTGAAGTATCTCCTCCATGAAACTTTTCCTGCTTTCTCATGTCCTCTCTCTCCTTTGTGTGACTGAGAATGCCTTTACTATAGCACTTATCCTGATGGGTTAAATTTATTTATGTATATGTCTCCATGTGAACATATTATTTGTAGTAACTCAATAACATGATTATTGAATGAATGAACAAGTAAATATTAGTCATAATAGATATAGTATGTCTGCATTTATATTTGAACACTGCAAAATTTATCTACATCAAAAATGTCAAGTCCTAATAGAGTCTATGGACGAGGAATTTTACTGAGAAAGATCTAAAATAGATTATAAAACAGCAGTACAGTTTATGCTCTAATCTTTCTTCCAATCCTGAAAACGGGAGCTAACCTAGGGTTTGCAGCAGAGGTTAAAAGCTAAATAATTATAATCTGGTGATACTGCCCAATAAATGATAGGTACGCCTTGTCATAAGCATAAAGATTACCCAATTCTTTAAGGCTATATATACTGGCTCAAGAACAATCCTTTTTTACTGGGGGAGAGGAGCATATTCTTACCAAACCCAACTAGAAAAGAACAGATGACAATCATTCCAGAGCAATTCAATCCTTCACCTGGTTGCTGCTAGAGACTCTATTTCTATGACTGCAGTCAACTGACTAATGCATTGATTACCTTATCTAAGAGAGAAAACACTGTCTTTTGGCAATCAGATTTCATGTTTCCAAACAGTGCTGTATTAATCCATGCACCTTTAGAAACAAAGACTAGGTATTACTTCTTTTTGGATCCTCAGCACCTAGTTCAGAGCTCAGCACATAACAGGTGCTCAATAAATGTTTACTGAATAAAAACCTACCTGCACAGCTTCATCACGTGCTTGCTTTTCTTCCTGTCTTCTCTGACGTTCTTCCTGTAACTCATTAAGCCTCTGCTCATATTCCTTCAATTTTGATAAAACATCATGGCGTTTATTCTGGGCTTCAAGGGTATTTATAAAGGCAATTTCATTTACCTTCCAATAACAACAAAGAAAGTGAGATTCAAATCAAGTTAATTCTTAGGCACATCACATCAATAAGTAATTTAACAAGTTTTTATATAATAACTTAAAACAGTGATAGGCACAGAACAAAAAAATAAATGACATATAACTCTTTTAATATTTACCTCAGAATGGAAAATAATCCAGTGTGTATAACAAATCCACAGGCCTTAGTAAAAACTGATTTAGAGGTCTGCTACTGAAAATATTTTAAAGTCAAGAACAATTTAAGATTCTCACTGAGTCCATCTTACAAAGTTCTACCTGTATAACCATCATTATAATTTGCAACCATATATTACTCCAACATTTAAATAGGTATGTTTAGGGCCGACCCCATGGCTCACTCGGGAGAGCGGCGCTGGGAGCGCAGCGGCGCTCCTGACCCGGGTTCGGTGCGCTCACTGGCTGAGCGCGGTGCGGCCAACACCAAGCCAAGGGTTCCAATCCCCTTACCGGTCACAAAAAAACAAAAAATAAATAAATAAATAGGTATGTTTATGTTATTCTAATAAGTTTGAGAGGTCAAAACAACGAATCTTTTTTTCAAAATATACTAAATAAGTGACAATTAAGTACAAGGTAGTGCATTATGTACTGCATCCTCAACTTCACATGTATTGACTCTTAACAGCCAAGTTTTGTTAGAGAATACAGATTTTATGAGCAAAGTATAGCTAATGATAAAGTTCAAAAAACCAGTTGGGATCAAATCTCTCATTTTTGAAAGCCAGAGGGAGGGTATGCTAGAATAAAAATGGTAGAATGATATAGGGAATTGAACACTGGAGCTGACTACCTGTGACAAAAGCATAGACGCCATGAATCCATACTGGATGGAATAAAACCTATCTCAAGATATTTTAGAAATAAGAAAGTTTAAATATAATTCTAACCATGCTTTCCCAATCTCCATGCCATGAAGCCACTTTGATAAGTATTTTTATAAGTAGATTAATCATATAACCATCTTTTCAAACTGTACTGGAAGTATAAAAAAAACAAGTATGTTCAAGGAAAATTTATTTTTACTATTTCAGAGCTCACATGTTAAGCATAATCAGGATGAAAGAAAAAGAAATGGGATCTAATACACTAAGCAAAATAAATAAAACAAAATTCAGGGGGAAGAGAGTATGCAAAAGTCAGATGCAAAACCCAATCTGGAAGAAAACATAACCCAAAAATAGGAGAAAATTACCTAGGCAAACTTTGTAACACTGACGAAGTTAACAAGAACACATATTTAAAGGAGCAAGATGATAACACAATATAATGATAAAATAAAGGATGATTAGAGAGCTAAGGAAACAAACTGAGGACAAAGGAAACACTATCACAGAATTCATTAAATTTGAAAAAGCAGGGAACAGAACAAAGACAGTAAAAACCCAATTTATTAATAGAGGAAAGGCTTGTTATAATCCCAGTTAATACAGATTTTTAAAATAAAAATCAATGGATAAATAATAAGCCTTGAATATGGAGAACAAGTCAAGATGACCTACTATAAAGATAAAGATAAAGATAAAGATAAATAATACCTATGCAGTTAAAAAAGGCAACAGAAAATATTCCAACATAAAATACAGGAAATGTTTACCAGGAAAAAAAGGAACAAATTGAAGATTAAAAAAGCTTACATTATTTCATAAAAAACTGACTCAGAAGATCAAAATCAAGAATATCCTTACTAAATCATAAAACATTAAGGAAGAATAATAAAATTTTAAGCTTTCAAGTAGTAAATGCAAGCCAACTACAAGAAAGAAAAAATACAGTGTGGCATCAAGCTTGCCCAAAGAAATAGTTAATAATAGAGGACAACAGAATAATGCCTACAAAGTTCTGAAGGAAAGATATTGTGAATCATGAATCTGGTCTCTGGCCAAGATATAATTTAGGTAAAAATGTCATAAGCCTGAAATATGCTAGAACTCAAGGAACAAAGCACCTATGAGCTATCCCTGAAAAAAGTTACTTGGTCCAGAAAACCAAGATAAATCAAAACAAAGAACTCGTGAATGGAGAACTGGTAAGCATTGATTTTTATTTATATATGCAAGGAAAACTAAACTGAGGAATTTACAGTTACAGAGCAAAATGTAAATGTGATAAACTTTAACAATGTAAAACTAATAAAACTATGAAAAATTACTGAAGGGTGATTACAAAGATAGAAGGAAATATGAATGCTAATTTTCTCATCTTTTAAGTAGGGATTCCCTCCGAATTATCCAAAATTAAAAGGAGGTTGAAAAAATATAGTAATTCCATCCTCTCAATATGTTTCTTAATCTTCTAAAACCTTAAAAATATCTTATGGGAAATAATCCCTCTCGTGATAAAGAAACATTTATTACAAACTCAACAATTTCTTCCATTTTACTTCCATTTCAATTCTTTCATTTAAAATGGAACTAAAAGAGACATTCATATGTCTTTAAAGAAGTATCAAGTATAGCATAATTATATTTTATAAAATTATCTATTCATGCAATCTGAACATAATTCTGGAGATATGTCTAGAACAGTGTTTTGCCTGATGTTAATGGTGGCTATCACTCAGCGAGATTTTTAGTTTCTTTTGCTATATTGCTTAAATTCTTTTAAATGAAAATGAATCATTTTTTAAAATAATAATATGACTGTTATTCTAAATATAAAATATTAATAATGCATTTATACAATGCTTGAAGACAATGGAAAGTCCTTGAAGGTTTTTAAGCTGAGAGGTAATCCAATAACGTCCTTCAGAAAGATCAATTTGGAGGCAGCAGGGGCAAAAGATAAGAATATCAACTGCAAATATTTAGGAGGGTGATAAAAATAAACTGGTGGCAGCTACAATGAAAAGGAAAACACATGAGTGGCTACAGAGTTATAGAACTATAGTTAGATATATACATGGGACCTCAAAGAAGAAGTCACAAAAATCTAGCTTATCTTTGTGCCTTAAACACAAAAAGTGGTCCAAAAAAATCCATAAAAACAAATAAACAGTGAATTGAAGTAAATGAATACAAGTTTTTCAAGTATGGGTTAATGGTAGACTAATAATGATAATCATCATCTGAAATATGAATTTCAGGAAAAGCAGATGGTGAACTGATGAGTTCTACTGAATACAACCACCAAGCAATAAGCAACTGAATCTAGAGTTGGTTGAGAGGGTGAGGCTAAATATTCAAATTTAGGAATCACTGCAGAGATGATAGTTGAAGCAATGATAGTGGTTGTGATACTAATGGAAAAGAATAAGTGAAGTAAACTGAAAATAGTTATATTTAACCAACAAAAGAAAGAATGAAATATAGAAAAGGACTGGTTAGAGAGGTGGAACAAAAATCAAGATAGCACAGAAGAAAGTATTCTATAAAAAGGTGCCTGACAGTGTCCATATTAAGAGATTCAGAAATGGCTTTTAAACTTAGTGACAGCAGAGTAATATTCTCAAGGCAGAGAGAGAAAATGACATTACAAGGAATTAAGAAAGAAGTGGTTGTAAGATAATAGACTAGAAATGAGCTCAGACTACTGTTTCTAAGGAATTTGGTGATTTACAAAAGAATAGAATAGGTAATCTACAGAATAGATGTACAAAAGTAGGCAATCTAGAGGAAGAAAGCAACGAAGCGGGCACAAGAAGATAACTGATGAAAAAAATTCTAAGAGCAGGCAAGAGGACATAAATTGGATCCACAGCACAAAGAAAAAGGCTCCTACCATAAATACAAAAATGGGTATCTTTTCCTCAAAACTGGAATAAAATAAACTATAACTAAAAGTAGATATGTTGCACATAAAAATGAATCAACGAGACCATTAAAAAACTGAAAATACTATTAAATAATGGACAGCAATCTAAAATAAAATCAGGTTCTAATTAACTTTGGCGGCAATATTAGTCATTATCAACTAAATACTAGATGACTTATTTTCAATCATCTGTCTACTCAAGAAAGAACTAAGGAATTTGAAATGACTATTAATTTATTCCAAGGATTCAGGAAAAGCATATATAGAAACATATAAATCACAGCTTGATGATATAACAAAACTGAAATAATATATTTGATATATTTCTCAAGTAAAGTGCACTCCTAGGGGGATTTAAATATATTTTTTAAAATAAGAAAAAAATCACTGGGGGGACTTAAGGGAAAATTAAGAAGTTGAAAACAAATATGATGTATTCTTCTACAATTCCACAATTCATATTTCAGATGTTGATTATCATTAGTCTACCATTAACCCAGACTTGAAAAACTTGTATTCATTTACTTCAGTTCACTGTTTTTTTGTTTTTGTGGGGTTTTTAGACCACTTTTTGTGTTTAAGGCACAAAAATAAGCTAGACTTTTGTGACTTCTTCTTTGGGGTCCCATGTATATATCTAACCATAGTTCTATAACTCTGTAGTCACTCATGTGTTTTCCCTTTCATTGTAGCTGCCATCAGTTTATTTTCATCGCCCCCCCCTAAATATTTGCAATAATATTCTTACCTCTTGTCCCTGCTAATATTTTAATAAGTGCTTACGTTATACCAGAGATGGCACTATCTGCTTCACAACATGCATAATCTAATATAATCCTTCCAGCAATAGAAATGTAGCAAAGATTATTCCTATTTTAAAGATAATCAAAAAAGTTCAGAAAGGTAAAATAATACCTAAGGACATTCACCTATTAAGTGGTAGTCAGAACCTAAATCCAATTTTATGTAACCCCAAAGACTTCAGTCTTCACTATCATGATAAAAAAATTACTTTTTAATAAGGAGCAACCTTTTGATATATGGGAAACCCAAATTTCCTGATCATAGAAATCAAATGGAGGTCTTGTGAAAAAAAAAAAAAATGCCTAGGCCCCACTCTAGCATTACTCAATAAGACCCTGCAAAGAAAAAGCTTGGGAATCTCTGTCTTTCTAACAAAACCTCAGATAACTATTATGATCAAGCAAGAC